AAATATGTCTATGATTTTGTTGATGTCTAACTGAATGTCCTTGTGCACATACAAAAGTAGCAAAGCCACAAACCTTTCCTGTCCCATTGTTGACCTCAGCAAAGTTTTCACTGCTTTAAGACCCGAGTTAGCACTTTCCACAGAAGCAGTGGTAAAAGGTATGACTGACAGAAGGTGAAGAATCATATAAATGTTTGGGTAGCACTTCATATTTTTTATCTTTAGAATTTCAGGGAGAGAGCTGGGTTTTTCCACTGATGGTGACCACTTTGTGTGCCACAACTTCACTTCTTGCCTTAATGTTGATCATGACGGTAGATCATCTTTATATGATGTAAAAATGATAAAAAGTCATACTCTTCCAGCCAGTCCCTCTGGCATGTTCTTTTGGTCACCCCACTGGAATCTGGGTTACGAGGGCAGCAGTCGCAGCAGAGAAACCCAGACATCTCCTCCAGCAGAAGCAGATGTCTGAGCCTCCTCTGCTGACTCCTCTCTATGAGGAGGGGAAGGAGCTCTACTCCAAGAATCTCCCCGACGGACGAGCTTCTCAGTTTCTCTGCACCCAGCCACCCTGCAGAGGAATCTCATTTAAGCTGCTTATGATCAGCTATCGGACAGACATATGAAAATATTTCATTAAAAAAGGTTAGACGCTAAACTTTTTATTATTTTTTTATTATTGTTTTTATTATAGGCACACACAGTTTCAGTTAATCTCCATTCATATATCAATGCAGGTTAAAGGATGTCCATGGATCTTATGCAATTTTGATACCGTAGCTTTTATTTCTTTAAAGTAAACACCCAGTTTCCCTCCACATGATTTTTTTTTTCACACGGATGGTAACTCAGACCCACTTTAGTTATTTGTTGTTGTAATTTTCCTATTATTTTTCTGGTTTTACTTTGGTGGTGGATTGGCAGGTGCATGCACATGAGCATGGATACTCAAACCGTGACAGAAACTCACACCAGTTGATTATAAACAATCATTTTTACACTAACATTAGCTGATTGTGTGCAGCATAACTCAACCTTGTTCTGTTCTGCCTGGTTGAAATAATTTTTCATCCTTAAATAAATGAATCAGATGGGGCATTTTGAAACATTAGAGACCACAAATTCAAAATAGGAACTCAATATTTTTTTTAAAAAGAATACAGGGTTAGTACATATTGCGTTGGAAATAGTCTGAGAAAAAGTTTGCTCAATGTTTTTTTTTT